ACTCCCGGGCCGTAGCGTTCACTATAATCGGCGCGTCCACGAAGTTATTCACCCAATTGGGTCCACCCCTAGTGTCCAGAGCCAGGTTCCAGTCAACCCAACCCCCGGTCCAGTGATTCAAATCCTGATACATTAAAAATAATTTTGCATTCAATATATATTAATTAAAATCAGTACAAATGTCAATGTTATTACCGTAATTATATCGGTGGCGTACTTTTCAAATAATTGCCAACTGCCTAAATAAACATGGTGTTCTTTGCCACCCCATATCTCACAGGCTTCGGTGTTTAAAAGAAACTTGGTTGAATCTATATTGTGCACAGTGTCTAAATTGACCACATTATTTTTATCATTCATATACCAGTGATAGGCCGTTCCGGACACGTATTGGGCCGCTTCACTGTCTTTGTATACGACTTCAGCCCAGTTGGCAATGTATGGCCTGTTATCGTCGCAAATCATAACTCGGGTAACGTTAGGCCCATAACCGGCGGCAGACATAATGGGACCGAAGTCTAGTTTCAGGAAATCCCGGTACAGTTCGGGAGTAAATGCCATACTATTGAAGCCGTGGTGTTCGCCCACTATTACGGCGGCCATCGGTTCGTTCTCAATGGTTAGGCCCCAAAAGGGTATGCCCTGTGCTTTGTATGCGTCCAGAAATCTTGAATATTAGTGCAGTAATTATTAATGACTTTTATATATAAACTTTTAATATAAAATTACCATAATTCTTACAATTTTATCTTTATATGGTAAAGTAATCTATAAGTTTTAACATTATATGTACTTACCATTATTTTTACTTTATTTACAGTATTAATTTTTTGGTGTTGTATAAACATACAATATACAGTACAATGTTAAATAATAAACTTATAGTAGCAGTGTTAGTATAAATATCAAACTTACTTCACTATGTAATTAGCGTATGTCTTATAATATTCACCACCAGGTTTTCCTATTAGATAACCACCATGATTGAGTTGTGAATTGTTTTTCATCCAGGCCGGTGCAGACCACGGGCTGGCAAACAATCGTAAATCGTGCTTGCTCACTTGTTTAGCCGCTTTGATTAAGGGTATCTGTAATTATTAAGATTATTAGTTTTTAAATAAATTACAAATTTATTTACTGAATACTTTATCAATGAAATCCTCTTGCGTTAGATTAAAGTGTTTTAATTGGAAATCATTTTTATAGTTGTCGTCATAACTATAGGCATGTGTGGAGAAGTCTGAGCCCCCGATGGGTATCCGACCCAATGTATACTCAATACCCGTTTCCCCGAAATAGTCTTCAATTAACCGTTTTTGCAGTATTTGTGGCAAACTTTTAATATTAATACCGGCGGCGTCTGTGAAGGCGCCCCCAAACCCTATGATTGCCTGATATAATGGTTTAGTTTTGTCCACATTTATTGTCACCGATTTGTTTGCTTTAGTTATAAACTTTTGGGCAAAATTAAGTGTCGACTTTTCCAAACGGTGACCATTTTTAGAGGACTCGTAAACAGTGACGACTTGTTTGTCAGTCCTGTGAATGGCCTCCAAGTCGTCGCAATGGCTTTCATCGCACACACAGACTGTCCCTCCGTTTCCGTAATCCCTGTGAACGCACGGTAAGCGTGAATATACTATATGTTTATAAAATATAATTAAATTTTAATTATTTTAGAAATAAAACTCATTTATATGCGTGTAGAGTTATTACCTAAACCAATTGACAGCAATAATATCACATAAATGTTCATTATTAATATGTTTTAATAGACTTTAATTGTCATTAAACAAAATATATTATATACACACTTTTTATATACAGAATTCAATTCAATGAAAATAAATATTATTATACATTTACATTAAATGTATTATTTATTAGTGCAAATAATGATTATATTATATCACATAGATTATTTTTATCCATTAGGAATTTTTAAAGTCAAGTACTCTAAAATCAATCATTATTATTTTTATACTGATAAAACAACAATTAAATACTTTATATTGTATAATTAAACTATTAAGTTTCTAGATCAGCTACGTTCAACTAAATCACTTAACAGGGCAACCTTCATTATTAAAGTATATTTTTAAAAGCTTGTTATCCATCAGAAACAAGTCGATCCGTTGCATAATTTTTATTAATAAATCGTGGACTATTATTACTTTATTATTTATGATGATAGATTCAGTTTCTGAGCAAATTTATTCGTTAGTAAAAAGAATCGAATGAATAAAATAAACATCTATATAAATTAAATAGTAAAATATTTGTAAAATGTTTTACATTTATAAATTGATTGTGAAATTAAAATGACAATACTTTGAAAGCAACACTTCTGGTGATAACGTATTGATTACTACACGAAAAGCCAATCAATTTGTTTCGATCACTCACTCGACACATACTATTCAATAACTATTAAATACAAGATAATTATTAATTAGAGTTAATTTAAATTGTAATTAAATAATATAAATATATTTTTACCTTTAATTTATAATTAGCATTCTTTGAGTATTGTATAAAAGTATAAAAATAAATATATTTATAAGTGTTTGAAATACCGATATTAATATCAGATATAATTATATTCAATAAGAATAGAGACGAAAGCATTGTTACAATGAATATAACGTAAAGTATTTTTGTAAAAATCAACGGATTTTCAAATAACAATAGATGTAATAATTGTGTATTCAATGGTATAAATGTATAGCAAAACGTGAAATATACAGTATATTACGCCAAAATCTATTATGCTTTTCAATATCCAAACAAATTTTATTATGATTTCTCAGGATTTTATTAATGAGTTTTGTATTAAAAAACATTTTACTTGACGTATGTTTTTGCAAGAATTTACTAAAACTTATTATTTGGTATTTTATATAACGTTAATAACAAACCATAAGGTAATAAAATATGGTGAGAACCCCCACTAGAAATACGCCCATGATCAGAATTTGGTACAACACAACACTGACTACACCATAAAACACTAAATTGATATCGTTGAAAAATATGGCCACAAATAACATATTAACAAATGTTAAATAAATACTAAATTTACAAATTTTAAAATACAATTTAATTTTCGTCACAAACTCTTGTCTCGCAAATCAATTAATTTGAATGTTTTGTATCCATCGATGGCTGAGATTATATCAAACCAGTGATAATCGCAATCATTGCTGTAATTCATTATCAATAAAATACTTAATGAGTTGTTATAGTTGCAATAATACCCGTAAAATACATAAACTCTTTATTACGGGTAAAGTATTGCAAAATATCGTAATAATAAAGCGGTAAACGTATGTTTGGTTGTGATTTAAACGCATAAAATATATACCGTATTAAATGAAACACATTTAACGTGAGTAAAGCAAACGTTTTATATTTGTGTTTTAATACTATTGATCTTGGTACATTTTTGCCGCTTAGATCAAATCTAAAGAAAATTCCGTAATTATATAGTGGTAATTCAATGTCGCTCGTTTTAAATTGATCCATCTCAATTCGTTTAATTTACATGTTATTTATTTGATTATTAACTTAATAAAAACTATTTTTTCATTGTATATTTAATGTATTTTTAAGTAAACATAATTCAATATTAAAGTAAATAACATAAAATAAAATATAAATATATTTACTGTTGTTTTAACATACGTATATTCTTTAAAGTTATTGTTATATTTTTTTATTAGTTATATTTAACTAAATTTAAAATTATATTTAAATACCGTACACTTTAACGTATGTATATTCTTAAAATTGTGTTCAACCAAAAATAAACGCATATTTCTCAAAGGTTTTTGCATAAACTTAATTAATCTTGAATATTTATTATAGACTGTATAGTGGACTGTCCATTTAAATAGTAAACTAGGCTTGGCCATACGCTATCGTTATTTGTGTAAGAATAGAGTGACCAACATATAAACTATAAGCATAACTATTAAACATGACTTTTATTTAAAATTGAACATTTCTTATCTATTTATCAATTATTACATGTTTCCTTTTAATGCTGTTTTATATTGAAAGGCAAACACATGTTTTGAATGAGTATTGATTTAATTGTTGTATTAATTGCATGTAGCACCTAGACCAATTATTTAGTCGGTAAATTGACTTTATACCTTCACGACTTATAACCAGATATGTTTTTCTAAAATTTCTAAAATATGTCTGAGTATCGAATAATTTTAAGTCAAAATGCACTAAATTTTCATTTACATTAATGTTACATGCAAAAATGTTAGTAAAATTTTTATTTAGTATTAACAAATTGTTAAAATTATATATAATTTTATACGTAGCCATGCATTTTAACAATAAATGGCATATTGTGGATTTGTTACTTGTTCAATTTTAATGAATTATACATAAAATTATTTGAAATTAAATATTGAAAAAATCAATTTCTCAGATTTTTAATATTTTGTTTTTTAAATGTGAAAAATCTCAACCGATTTTAACTCACAATTTACCAATTCATAAAAATAATATAAGTTTTTAAAAATCAGAATATAACAACCCTGAAAAATTGCTTTTATAATATTTAATTTTAAACAATTTGGTGTTTAAATTACTAAAATTAAGCAGGTAAATGTTAAATTACAGGCATGTTACATTTTCATTTTTCTACACATTATTGCAAGTATATTTCATATTAGGTCATTTATTTGAAAAATGCATATGCATGTATAAAATTATTTTTGATCTTAATATTTTGGTTCATATATTGTAAATACTTAAAAAAATGTTTGCAAATATACCCAGGCATTAATCAATTAAGTGTTGAGACAGTAAGTGCTTGCTCCAGATTCCGGTCAACAAATATAATTTAAACTAATATTAATATTATTATTTATAATAAACAGTTAACTAAATATATTTTGTTAATTAAACTCAACTAATCATATGTAAATTCATGTGATTTTCTGAGGGAATTATCTGGTCACTCTAAAAAAAACTGAACGCGTTCAGTTTTTGGCCAAGCCTATAGTAAACAGTTGACAACCCTAGTTTTAAGTATAATACTATTAACAACAAATTCAGGGTAAATTTAAAACAATTTATTTTAATTTTATAATATTAAATCAATTATAGTGTTTTTAATCTTAAACATTCATATAATCTGAATCCATGTTATATTGAAGGCCGCCATCAATGACCAGATTGTGTCCCGTTATGAATGAGGCGTCCGATGAGGACAGGAATACCACTCCTTTGGCGATATCAATGGGAAGGCCCGGCCGTCCGAGTGGTGTAGTTTTGGCCACTTTCTCCATTGCCCTTTGTTCCCACGGAGACGTAAATGGGTGTGACTGAACAATACCCGGGCTAATCAACCATTTTAATTAATAAATTGTAATAACAAAATATTTGTTAAAAATATATGCTATACCTGACAGAGTTAACACGTATACCCTGTGGGGCTAACTCTATTGATAATACTTTAGTTGCCATTGACAGCGCCTGTTTGGCCAACTCATATCCCAAATACGATTTTTGCTGTTAATTAAATAAATTATAGTTATATTAACATAAAAATAATGTTTGTTTGTTTTACGGGACGTTCGGTAACAGTGCTGCAAATGTTAACAACAGTTCCCTTTGATTTCTGGAGATACGGGACACTGAGTCGGATCAGCTCTAGTGATGCTCTTAAGTCTATTTTCATTGATTTGTCCAAAACGGACAGAAAGTCTTTATCGGTGGCCGAAGAGTTCATCAATAGACCGGCGTTATTGACCAATACATCCAATCCTTTGTATGTTTTTATGGTCTCATTAAACAAACGCTTTAGATCTTCATCACTGGTCAGATCTGCGGTCACTTCTAACGGCTATTCAACAAATTTTAATTAATATATTTTGCAATATGTTTAATACACGTATAATTACTTTAAGTTTTTTTGGTGACAATTGCTGTACTTCTTTGGCCACTTTTGAAATCTCCGCGGCTTTCCTACCGGTGATGACAACACTCGCCCCGAGAGCTGAGTATAGTTTGACAATTTGTTTTCCAATACCCGAAGCACTTCCGGTCACTAAAACTACTTTTCCCGTAAAATTTCTTGAATCTCTCACTTCTTGATAGATATCATTGCTTTCATTCAATACAAATGCGTTTACATTTGCGAAAGCAATCAATGCTAACAAATATATGGCAAACATTTTGTGTAAAACGTTTAATTGTTTTCGTGTTGAATTAATTTACTATAAAATTTTCAGTTTATATACCATTGAAATTTTTATTAAAATTAAGTCTTTATGAAAATAAGATAAAAGTTAATATGAATTATTATAGGATTACCTTCAATCAGATTTTAAGCAAAATACATGTATTTAAGTGCAATTTTTATAAATTTATTTAACAGACAATACATTTCAGGGAATTTCCCAATTATTATCAGTTTATTTCAAAATTCAGATGATTTAATGATTGAATATTTATCATTTGACAATCATTTAATACATACAGTATATAATTATCAATTAATAAGCAATTTTTACAATAATATTTTATTTCTTTTATTTCTTTACATGATCACTTGAACAAACTTGCACTTAATGTATTGTAAACTTGCACTTTACTTAAAATTTGAATGAAAGTTGTTTATAGTTACTAAATCCAGATATAAAAACAATATTAAGTAATTATTACTCCGTTTCTCATTAGAAACTGATGTATTGATATATAACAATATTAATTACTGTACTGTATATTAAAAAATGTCAAAGGCATGCACCAACAGTAGTACAATTAATGTAAATTTATAATTGTACTGAATATAGTTTTAAATTTTATAATTATCGAATAATTTATTAATTATAAAAATTTTAATAAACATTTAAATTCTTGTATATAAAATGTTATTTATTTGCTTACAAACAAATACAGATTAACTTTGTTTAAATAATTTGATTACAATTTATTTGGTGATAACAAATTGAAAGAATCCGTATTTAAATTCACACATATTATCGCCGGTATTGCTATCAATGAATTGTCGACATTTGGTCATCGCTTTGGACGCGATTTCCGATTTAATTACATCACTATCTCTAATGTAGTCAACAAAATACTGTCTCCTTATTGTTGTACTCAATGGAAGTATATCTGGAATTAGAGAGAGAGAGAGAGAGAGAGAGAGAGAGAGAGAGAGAGAGAGAGAGAGAGAGAGAGAGAGAGAGA